CAGTATTGGATAAATTATATACTAAAAATTAATACAAGAAAATAATGTTCCAACTAACGATTTTTTAAATTCTGTAATTAATTACTATAACTTCATGAATATAGATAATTACGAATGAACATAAAAATATTTCCTTATTGCTAGCATCTTTCAAAGCAGAGTTTACGCGAATGCGTATTATATTTGAAAATTGGTATAACTTATCTAACTTAGTAAATGTTGAAAAAAGAAATAAAAAGAAAATACGAAAAGAAAATAAAAATACAAAATAGTACTATACCGTGTCTGTGAGAAAAATAATTAACTGATAAAATGTATGTCATTACAATAATAAACAATAATAATATTTGCAATAATTTTGTATATTTATTTCGCTAAACAATTAATTTATAGTGTTGTATAATGTAAAAAGAAGACGGATGATAAAAATGATTTCAAGATGTACACTTTTTTATTTACAATTTTGTAAATTGTATAATCTTTATGAGGTGTAATGATGATATAAATCGTATTAATTGTTAATATAATTTTTGTACTTTCGGTAAATATAGTTATTTCGTAGAACTTATAAATTTTATCCTGATATACTGCAGTAAAAGTTGTGACAAAACTTACAACTCTTGTTCAAAATAAGTTACATAGTAATTATAATTATATAATTATGAATATTCTAATTAAATTGTAATTCTTATATCTTCAAATACATCAATTTTAAATTTTATATTATCTTGTTAATTATAATTTGATATTTCATTCAATCAAAAAGTTAATAAATATCAGTATAATTATGAATTTGCTGAAGCGAGTTTTTTATCTTTCATCTATTTAAGATTTAATTTCAATTAGAATATTCCTAAGGTATGTGAAATGCTATAAAATTTATTTCTAAACAGTGCGGACGGAGGTTATGCACTGATTACCGTAGTAAAATGCGCGAGTACACACGACACTGCCTGATTTCATCAATTTACGTTCACTCGAGTAATCTTGTTCATACTTAATTCACGCATTTCAATTCTTTGAATAAACTAGGTGGAATATCTTATTCTTTACATTCTTTTCCTAAATCACGTATTTTTGCATATTAACCTAAAAACGAGATTATATCAAAAGAAGAATGTGTTCTTGTACTTTTACATCCGTAAAAGATAGAAAACAATTTTTACCAGCGTAACAAAATAAACTTTTTTAAACAATATTTTATTTGAAGTGCATCAATGAAAACTAAGAATAAAAGATGAACGTGTTATTTTCCATGGATTATTTTACATTTTAAAATAATTTATTTTTTTATATTTCTCTAGGTAATTGGGTAAAATTTATTTGCAATATTGAATTCGATAGAATTATTGTGATAATTGTGTGATATATTATTGTGATAATTTGAACATGGCACGTATCTCAATTGTTGTCGAAAAAGTAATAAAATGATAATTGACAAAAGTATTACAAAATATAAATTTTATTTTTTATTAAGATTTTTTGAAGTAATGTGTTGTATTATATTGGATAAGTATAATAATAATAATAATTAAGTGCTAACGATAAATAGTAATGCTTATTATATTTAATTGTTATTCAGATTGAAAATAATTTTTGTTTTTTTTTCCTGAAAAATTAAATATCAGATATATATATATATATACATACCTTATACATTGTTGTTAAAATATAATTCTGAGCATCTACTGCAATAAATAAGATACATTACTTCAAAACTAATCTGATGTGAAACACCATAAGGAAATAGGCAAATAAAATTTAAAAAAAAATGGAAATATTAGCACTTTTTTGCATAATTTTATCTAACATTTTATTAGGACATTTTTGGAAATTTGATATTTTTAATACATTTTTCTTACACACACACACACACACACACACACACACACGCGCGCGCGCGCGCGCGCGCATACGCACACGACACATACAGTTAGTACGGACATTTAAAACAGGTCACCTGAATAACTCGCTTATTTTCAGAGATAGAAGAAAATGTATCGGTCCAGACTTATTTGATATTGAGTTGCTCATAATCTGATGTTACTAATTTTTTTTATAGGTGGAGGCGTCAAGGAGATATAAAGGTCAACTCTGTTTTTTTAAGCGGAACGATATGGTTTTTTACTTACCTTCTGATAGAGAATTCCAAGACGAATACAATGACCTATAATGAAGATCATTCAAGGTCACTCAAGGTCATGGATTTATGAATCACCCTATATATCGCGAGTCATTATTTGACTCGGTCGTTCCGATGAATGCCAATAAAGTGGTCAGCTCCAAAAGAAATATTTCTTTTGAACAAGTTTGGAAGTCTTCGTGTACCAAGGCCGAGCCTTAATTGTCATTTGTTCAATTGGAATTTGATGAATTAATTGAAGAATTATGAGAGATATAATGCGGTATGATCCATTCATTAGAAATTTTGAAAAGGAAGGGAGAGGAAAAGAGGACCCCGAATATAAAATTTTAACGACGGATCTTTCTTCATTTCTGAAATATTAATAAAAAAACTTTAGGTATAATACATTGAGCCTTGTCTATACAAATATTACAAATTCAAACTATCTTCACTGCATTAGTGTCATACGATCGTTGTCACTGTAATAGCTGTTGACATAATAGCCATATTGTTTTCAGTTTCTATAAGATGTTGATCTTAAAATCCAACATCGACGGATTTTACCAATAATATATAGATAATTGGTGATCGTCTTACGACGGTTACAAATATATAAATAAATAAGTATAACAAATAATCCAATCTAATTCTAATATGGATCATGCAAATCTTATTAGACGTTAGTAACATCTATGTAGACAAAATTCAATGTATGTACCGAAAGTTGATATCAAATTTGAAATGATACACTCTATAGGAGTATTGAAGTCGATATTGCGTAAACAGTTCTTAGACATTCACCGATAATTAATATACCATTGGCCATGTTTATACAAAATGGAATTAATTCAATGTATTGTACTCAAAGTTTTTTATTAATATTTTAAAAACTAATAAAGATTCATTATTAAAATTTTATATTGAAGATCTTCCCTCTTCCCTTCAAAATTTCGTTTCATTTTGATGAATGTGTCATACCGCACTACAGCCGAATTATGTGTGTACGTATTAGTAAACAAATTTGAAAATAAATCCTGCATCGACCTCGTTACCACTAAGTATATAGTAAGTAAGTATGTAACAGCACCAAGTATGTGATAGTAATGCAATAGTAACAAATGTTGACGCACTTTAGGCTTCTTTCAAACGAAGATATTTATATCACTGATACAAGTATCTTTCTCTCAGATCTTTTTGCAGAATGAATCTTGGGCTTGGCAGAAGAGAAAAAACATGGCAGTATTTAATGTTATCTATTGGACTTCATGTAGGATTAGGAAAATTTCATTGTAACAATAAATTATTTCTATTAATTAATTAATGGATTAATGGACTAATATTGATTAATTATTCGCAAATTATTTTCCATTTAAATTATTTTATCCAAACAAAATAACAAATAATCACAGCACAAAGTGTAGTTTACTCAGCAAAATTAGAACCTATTTAGAAAATTATTTGTAAGAATAAATTTAAAATACATAATGAAGTAAAAAATTATTTTATTTGATAGCTAAATAATCAAATATTTTCGAGAAAAACCATCTTTTATTCACATAAATTAACGCAAGATTATTTTAAAATAACATCAAGCCAATACAAAATATAATTTTGTATTATTTAAATAATTGCCTTCCAAATATTTTATTCAAACAATGGTCAAGTCTGTATTTGTTGTTCTACACTTCGGCGTCAATTTGTTTATCTTAATGTCTTAACTGTTGACTTCGTAAAGTATTGCCAGGGACCAAAGTTCTCGATATACACGAAATCGATATACATACTATCATGATACTGAATTGCGCAAGAATCGTTGTATGAACGCATCCATTTGACTACGTGTATACTTGGTATTCATCATATGTATATCACGATACAAATATTTCCGTGTGAGAAAGACTTAACTCTTATTTTTTGAGAGTTGGGCGAGAAGCTGCGTGCACAATTGCATATGAAGGGTTGTAAAAAATATCTGTTATAATTTAATAATCCAAGAATGAATATCGTCAATATATTAGGTTCAGATTTGGGTTAATATTTTTAATTCGGTCGTCATTCCGTAAGGCGATCGGCAATACTTGTATAAAATAGTTATCTTCAATAAAAATTGTCATTTTTTGTTTTATTGTGTGGAATGTAATGTCGCAAACAAACTGATCTCTTTTGGCATATGAAATTGCGAATAAGATTTCATAGAAGTCATTTATTTAGATTTGTAAGATGTGACAAAGGTAAAGAGCGATAGTTGATATACCGGTTATGCTTATAAATGTATTACAGATGCATACATATGAGCAACATTCAATGTATTAATACCGGGAATTTTTGTTATGTTAAATGTTAATTGTTATGTAAATGTTAATTTCTACAATATATTTGAAAATCATTGAAATTGATAATGGTATCCGTTTTTTAGATAATTATCGCACATTTGTTAATTTCTTCATGAATGAAAAAGAAATGTAAAAGAAAAAAATGTGAGAGGAGAAGGTTGCTACTTTTTAAGCGAACAAAGCTTAATAATAAATATAAATAACTATAGATAATTATTGAAATAGTAATCATTAATATTACAATTTTGAAGCAATTAAAATTAAAAAATTAGAAATTGTGAAAATTTTACTAATTATGAAAATAAAAAATATTTTTTGTATACACAACAGATTTGTGACATAAATATTGATAACATAATAGATCGAGCATATGAGAATTTATCAAACTAATTTATAATATTATTCGCGAATAGGAGTTAATTTAAAAATAATTCTATAGACAATATTTTATGCAAAATTCGCATGATGCAATGACTATGATGCAATGAATTATGTGTAATTACATTATGTGTAATAAAACAAATATAAAGATAACAACTTACTTTAAATTACGGTGTTGTACTTTCTTATTCACTAGGTTGATGGAGACTGCTATTCTTTTAGTTTACGCTTAACTCTCTCTCTCTCCTCTCTCTGGCACGTTCCAACAACCTCGAGAAAAGTTTTTGTATTTCGTCCATGAACGGTTGTGACTAATGAAAGGAAATATCTAAAACCAGGCCCGAGAAAATATCTAAAACTGTTGCATTATGAAAAAGATCATTCGCGCTCGATGAATTTTTTAAAATAAATAATGTTGCTTTCTATGGTGCATTTTTCTAACAATAAGTTTCCACCTCTGTTACATAACCTCATTGCAAAACAGTACAATACTTAGTCGATAACATAGATACTGTTGGGAATTGAAAAGAAATCTCGCGAAAGAAATGCGAAACTGATTGGTTGTTTTGAATAAATTCAATACGTTCTTAAATATAAGGATACCTATTGGCCGAAAATGTCACACACAACAAACTCGTGTAGCGTCAATCAATAATAAGAGGGAACTCTTTTCTGTCGTTCTGTAAGATTTTCTAACTTTTAACAATATTTATTTTTTGCGATAGAAAAGTTAGAAAAGTTGATTATATAGATAATTATTTATTACTTTTTTATTTTTTTTTACTTCAAATATAATTGCATAATTTGAGAAAAAATGTCTTAAATCAGAGACCGAATCGGTATTACGGATACCGGTATTTTAGGTTACTATTCGATACCGGGTTGATGAAACCGAAATATTGCGAATACCGGTATAACGATGTTAAGTCGGTAGATGTGTTAATCGGTAGATGTATGAATCCGATATAATACCGGTAAATAAAATAGTAATATATTAGAAAAGGAAAAGGAGACAATGATTAAATGTTTTCATAAAGCTGTATAGTAAATTTGACGACGCTTATATACGTACACTTTATTTATTTTTATTAGCTTTTTTATTAGTTTTTTATTTTATTTTATTTATATTAGCGGCTAGCATATGTCGGAGAAAGTCGTTTTCTCAGACATGCAGTTAGGAGGATTTACGACTCACGTGTCGCCTATGCTATTGAATTGTGAAGGCCAAGTTTATTTCTTACAGTGCATAAAGACCAGATATTTACACTCGAAGTTTTTAGTAATTCGGCGACAATAGCATTTCCGCGAAGCGTCGTAGGAAACTCTAGGTTTCCAAGGGCCCACTCAGACCTACGTTTGGAAGACATATGGAGAGAAAACCCTGCTACACCGCCATAAATTAGGAAAATCACGAAATTGCAGTCCCACTCTCGGAAAAAGCACTTACGAACGCAAGGAGTAGGCGGCGCAATTTCTTGAAAAAA